ACAATACTGAGGCTTCCGGAGGCTGTGAGAGTTTGCGAAATGTCATGTTCCATCGTTCGGTTAAGTGCATCGTTTTGTGTACCCGTCGCCATAACTCAGTTATTTCTTTTGTTGTTACTTGGTTTTGGAAAGGCTAGAGATGTATCTTCCAGTCAAAAGTACGATTGTTAGTGGGAATCTCTTCAAAGGATTCTTCATTGATCGTCCAGGAGGCTGATCTAACCTCATATACGCGAAAATGCCTTAAATATTGAGTATCTTTAGTGGCCCTGTCTGTTGTTCTCTCGTGCTCTAAATACTCAACTTCATTTCAGCTGAAGATCAATACCACAACTAGAGCATAGGATTCCTTTGTTCCACGTTAACAGACATGCTAACATCAAGGAAGTAAATTCGTTTTAATACTGCGTAAATTGGCAGTTTCAACATTGTCGTTGTTTCTATGTGGGTTTCACAGGCCCGGAGACTGAACTTTATATATCATCTTTTTTAAATAGGGATTTATGAATCTGTTAATACAGACCATTTTTGGATTTTCACATCAAAAGAATTCATGGATTCACGAATCGTTAAACTATCCACCACACCACTGATTTGTCGTTTGATTGGACCGGTTCTTTCCAAGTTCTCTTACATGAATGCTAACTGATCAATATATTCCGTCACTTATCCAGAGTCCAAATCAACAGCACAACGAACCGGAGACTCTGTAGGACAGGCGTCCACCACCGGTCTACAGTCACGTGTGGTTGTCAACATATATAATCATCACCACCCATCGGCTACCTCCCGCCGTCACTCGGCTAAGGCTGCCGCGACCACAATTGACGTACTGGATGATACGACGACCAGCACTGGTTTATCCCGTCTGAGCGCTTCCCTCAAATCGAAAAAGCGCGTGAATCGGGTCTCTGGCGTCACTGTTCAGTCTAAGCCTAATGCTTCCTCGGAGGAAAGTCCGTCCACGGAGTCTGGTGCCCCCGGATCCGGTCAATCTCAAGTCGGTGAGTGATGGTTTAAGTATTTTGATCAAAATTGTATATTGTGTCCCTAACTGCTTTTCAAATGTCCGATCCAATAAACCTCAAACACAGCATACGACCTCTGTTCTGCCATGAATGGATTTTTGTTGACTAAAATCGCGATCATTTACTTCCAACACCGTTAGAACTGTATTGCTATGCATTTTCACAAGGATCGATGTTCATCGTAATTCTGTGAATTGAAATTCGCTAGCGTGAGGTGAAGGTTTTCTTACGGCATGATTCATAGCTGAAGGAAAATTTGCGGTTACGAAGAGTCTTATTCATGTACCATTTGAATCTGTCATTGGTGTGCTCGCTGGTGCACTCGCTGTTTATTGTCTTTGTCTTATTGTGCCTTTAGTTCATTGGAATGGTGAACTACACCAATCTCAGAATTTTAAATTTTTCATTTTTACTACTCACTAAGTGTTAGTAAACAGTTTGATACTGTGTATATTTTGCATCAATCCAAATGGAGCCACATCGTTCGTTTCACATCCTGTGCCGCGTATCACTCCAGTTAAAAGCATCCAGTCGGTACAGGAATTTGTCGTATCCTGTCCAAAAAAACTCAGCGCGTTTTCCCGTGCAACTAGTGGATGACTCGGCTTGAAAGCACGATGTGTGTCACCGAGCTTGTGAATAGATATCATTCGTAAAATCTGTGAGTGACGTGATGTCCAGGTTGATCGTACTAGACTTGACAGGCACCATGTCACTTGATTTGTGCCGTGGATTGCATATGCGATTATTGAAATTATGTTTGATAGTCGCACAACTGCGCCGGATAAGAAACGAAATTGTCCAATGGATGCCCCACCACAGTGAATTACCGACTGACTAAATTGGTTCATTTTCCGATCGACTTAACTGTCATTTAAATGGCTTTCAAATGTTTGGAATGGATGTCTTTGAAGAAATCGTGCGTCGTACTCATAGTATTAGATCCGTATAAGAATGTTTGGATCAGCTATAACGAAAGAAAACCAAAAAAAATTTTTCGGTTGACAACGTTTAGATCCTTCCAAGAGAGTAGAAACGTCGTCGACAGAAAAATTGTTGTTCTTTGGTTTTCTCTCTTTGTGGATAACCCAAACATTCCTATACGTATCTAAGACTTTNAAATGTTACTAAAATTCAGTATACTGTAAATTGAAACAAGCCTTTCCCGAGATTAATTTGAAAAGAAAAGACCATATTGCAATACTGCACGATTTATGTCCAGGACGATTTCGCTGCATCTCAACATGGTGCATACTGCAGAAAATACAATGTTTATATAGGGTTTTAGCATAGCAACAGAATGAGGCAAAATATATTAAAAACAGACAAAACATAAAAGAGGGAGGGGTAAAAGGACCATATCACTAGGGTAGGGAGAGACTAACATACAGTTCTTTTTGCTGGCACAAAGGGGGCTTCCATCGATTAATCGCAATTGCTTCAGCAAACCTTAGCAATCTTGCGACTTGTGACTTGTAGACAATTTTAAATGCTGTGCTTCGGTCGACTGTAAATTCATTGTTTAGTTCAGAGGGATTGTGATTTATGAAACACTCAATGATTGAAATACTTTTTAAAAAAACATGGGAAAGCAATACTCCTCTCGTAATAAAAATATCATGCGTTGTCCCCAGCTAATGAGGTGACATTATCCATCATGCACAAACTGTCCGTCGACAAATTCACCGGTCTAAGGCTATCTGTTAGTTAATTCTTAAAATAAGCAAGTAAAACCGTTGTAAAATTACTTCACTGCACACACGAGTGTGGCAGACACTAAGGGAAGTGAACCCTACATTAATCAGGAGAACCCACTATTCGCTTGTGGAAACCGGCGATCTAAGTGCTGAAATTGAAAGCAATAAGTTATATATATAATGAATGGCATTCCGCTAAGCGATGAAAACAACAAAGCTTTCTGCTCATAAAGGTGAAGACATTTCTAAGAGGTTTCTGATCACAATGTTAACTTCACATGTGGAATACAGGAACTTGCTTTCTGACGCGTTGTTTCATGAAATTAATGTCGGTTGTAAAATTTCCTGACAAGGTCTTTTTCCTGAGGTCTTTCTGAGCTGGACTAGTTCGAAGACTACTGGTTGTCGCATTCATATTTTGTTTTCTAGTAAAAATGGTACCGCCACCGCTACTCCAGTAAATATCTTGTTCGGCCAGTTTTAAACACCAGATCATTTGTGTCATGTGCCACCCCAAATCCCTTGCTCCCTTGTTTCGTGTTGTCACATTCGGTTGTGTTTGTCGGTTGCCGATCTGCTACGGTTTTACTAACAGGATGATAAATCTCGTGGGAATTTCTTTTGCACTAAACTAGTGCTATCACTGCTTTCCATTTTCTGAAACACTGCCAACTGGTGTTTTGTGCACCTGCCAGCCGTTGTTCAAGTCTAGTCAATGGACGCTTTATGAATTTTCGGAAGTTTATGAAACTTGTACAATGGATATATAAAACAAATAATGGAAAATAAATTCAATACTGTGGTAAAGGAGAATCTTTCTCTGAGGTGGGCGACAATTATCTTGAGATTAACCAATTGCTGAGCAAGGTATGGAATTACACTCTTTCTATATGCGTAAGTATGCGCAGGAAGAATTTTATATTTGGAGCGAATTCGGGTATTCGACAGGGCTTTCACGTTTTTTCAGTTCAGTTCACGTGTTATCCTGTGAATAAAGGTATCACAAGGAATCAAATACTCGTCCAAAATTCAAGTAACTCTACTGTGACAAGACCAAAGTTTAAGGAATCCGGAAAACAAAATGAAGTCTTTTTCTTTCAGACCAAGGATAAATATTGGGGAGCACTATAATCAGTGTGGAAGGATGTAGATAATCGCGAATTTAGGAATCAGGTTATGTTGGACGACCAGTTTCCTGAGCCTATATGCATAAAGAGACAGTTTTCGAACTTGTGTTAAGACGCAGATGACATGAGCAGGCGAAGGTGACACCAAAGCATTTAACACAAACAGATTTGCTTAGATTAATAACTATCAAAACAGGGAGATTACTTACTTATTTTATTTTACGACGGTTGACTCCTGGGAAGGGATAAACCGGATTTATGGATATCCTGAATTACCGGTGTCCACGCTCGGTGTTCTGCGGCAAGATCAGCACAGATTATATCACCGGCTTGCGGGCAAGCAAGGTGCCAACGCCACAACAATAATAACAACAACAGAGTAAAATGGAGGTTAAACAATCACAATGGTGAACAGTAGACAAAAGGAACAACAATTTTTTGTGTGTTTCATCTTACACTTTTTGATATTTTCTGTTAGCTGTTAGATTGTGATCCAACTTGACTTCTATTGACGATTGTCGGAGACCAAGGTTTTCCGTATTTTTGCGTACCGTGCCTATTCAAGTTTTCAACTGTCCATCTTGTTGATAGCGCCCGTTCGGGCAGAGAAACGATGTCAAGGCAGCTTTATTCAGGTCCTTGTCAGATTTGTGATATATGTAACCAANAACCATTCTGGTCGCCGCAGCTGTATAAGATTAAAACACCGGTTTCTGGTAGCTTCGTTTGAGAGCTGATCCCTCCATTGCGTTCTCATAATGATTCTTAGGCATCGGTGATCGACAATGTTCACTCTAAGTGGCCAGGTTTCGCAGCCCCACAGCAAGATAGAACGGACTGCATCTGAGAAAACCTGCAGTTTTGTCTTTAGACTGATTTCTTGCGACATCGACGCGCACTTTTACCTCGTCTTCAGCTTGGTCCTTGGGGGGGTATAGTGCTGGCAAATGAGACTTATTTGATGGTGGGAAAGATACAGACAGTTTCCGCTGTGGTTATCCTGTTTCACAGTCTAAATTATAATTCTTCTCTGTTCTCTTAAATGTTAAACGAAACCAAGAGCGAAAAGTAAAACAATGGTACTTTTGATATGAACATACCCCGGTCTGTTCTGATTTGAATCAAGAAATGTGAGTGCATCACGCTTGCCTCTATTCAGATTTCCGTACACAAAATAGTGTTTTAAAATCACCACTTCGTGCAGTGCAGTCATGCATATATGCGAGTAAAGAAACAGCATTTTCCGTTCGTTGATGGCGGATTGTATATGGAAATAAAAGTATTCGACTAGTCTCGTTTAACAAGGATGAAGGTAATCCTGCCTTGTTCCACAAATTTGTGAGTTGTTTCTACTCCGGTTGAGTGAAGCAGAATTTAGAGGAAATTAGATTTATGCTACTATCAAGTTACTAGTAGTGAACTGTTAGAACGTTTAATGTGGTTCACATATCTGTGTTTGTCTTTCGCCACTGAGTGCGCTAGGAGACGAGTTCATATTCGATTACTAAATTGATTTGGACACAACCATTTTTTGTATTTTATTTACAAAGTAATCGTTTCAAATTTTGAAATGAGCTCATTTGTCAGTGTTTTGTTTCTCTTTGTACTAAGGTTGCTGCTTATTTGCGTGTTTGAATTACATCGACTTAGCGTTATGAGTGAAAAACAAATGTCTTTAGACTGTTCGTTTCGTTGAACAGACGTAAAAGGAAGAAGGAAAAGGCTGTAATTAGCCACGGGATAGAGGCGCTGTATACTCCTAAAAGTAAATCAGGAAAGAAATTAAGTATATATTCGGGCCCTATTGTTTACTCTCAGCCTAGTCACTCGCTGTCTCACCAGCGAATGGACTGATACAGAGTATCTCAAGCGGGAATCGTAATCGATTTATGCGATCCATTCCCATGATCATATGGTTTAATCGTCCTTGGCCTGATACCAGGTTTAGCTTCAGTTTTACAACCATTAACCATGCACTTTCGTGCACCGATTTTGGTTGCTATCTTTTGGCCGCCCATTTGAATAAAAGAGCAGAATAAAGATTGGAATGTTCAGAGCAAATTCAAACGCAAAATAGAGATTAGCCTGCTACCACTCAATACTGAACTCAACAGACATCAGTTGCCAAGAAAGCCGATACCTTGACATGCGTTGTACGTACCCCAGCACCACCGTGATAACCTCAAAATCTCTTCCTTGCCTCAGCATTGTTTGTTCGGTTTCCTCATCAGACTCGTGCAATGTGACGGAGACAGCATTGTTCGAACACCGATAATCCATATTTACCCTTTTTCCCTAACGGCCAGGTTTCTGTGCTATGAGCAGCACCAACAGAACTGCTTTAGCATACAGTCGGTCATTCGCAGTCCAGGTAAATGCATCGATTTCAGATATACATTCAAACGTCGACTTTAGTTTTGATGGTTCTCATACTGTGGAGATGGGCTCCCCATGAATCTGGGTCACACCATCCCTTAGCCCGTTGGTTGCCTGGGTTGAATTATCTTTTTTCATTGTTCTTATTTTCTTTTGGTATAGATACGGCGGCGGAAAAATCAAAACAGGACGATACAAGTCAAGTCCCACTGTCGTCCAACACGGAGAATGCTAGTTGTACAGATACAGTCGTTGAAACCGTACAAGTTCAGCAACCGCAGTGCTCAACCGAATTGGAAACTGTACGTGACCAGACTGCCGCATCGGATGACACAGAGTCCACGGAAGAAGGCGAGGCGAAAGATGATGATGACGATGAAGAGGAGGAGGAGGAAGAAGAAGAGGAGGAGGAGGATGATGCGGAGACAGAAGAGGATGACGAGACGGTAGGCGATGCTGAGGAAGACGCGGTGGTCGAAACCGATGGTGAAGCCGCCGAAGATGAGGATGAGGATGAAGCCTCTGAGGTGGATGAACGGGAAGGAGAAACCCAGAGAAATAGTCAACACAATGTTATCAGTCGTTCCAAAGTTTGGGTTGGAAGTCGTAAAGAACGATTAAATGCCGATGCAGATGAGATAGGAGATAGAGAGAAATCAGGCCGTTCCGGTATACGCGCTCGAGGTTCAGTTGGTGTCTCCCAAACCCGCTCTAATCGTCGCGTTGAGGTCGTCCCGTCTGATCCGCTATTGTTGGACTTAGTTTCAAGGTGAATTTTTATACAATCCCCAAAATTAAATGTCAATCTTCTATATATCCGTGCCACTTCCTGATTAACGACTAATTGACGTAACTGATGCGATTGCATGAAGCATTTAGAGGTATAGTTCGCGATGCTTCAATAAGGCTCAATGTCCTTCCCATCTCTGTTTTTTATTACCTATAAGTGAGCACAGTAAACAATTAGTCTTAATAATCCAATGGTATCCTGTAATTGATACATAAGAGAGAACATTCCAGATGGAACCAACTTGATTGCGCGTTTTAAGACAGGGGTGTCAAAAACTGATTCACTGAATTTTATCTTTGAGACAACAATAATGAGTTGTATGCAGATCGTGTTTCGTAATGGCGGTGAGTAACCAATTGATATATGCTAATAATGTATATTTTTTATTGTTTACATTCAGGAGTTTATATATATATATATATAAACTCTGGCTTGCGAGCAAGTCTGATGCCAATGACAACAACGGGGGAAGGGGGAAATTGGGATACAGAGCAGAGCAGAGTGAAATGGAAGTTAAACAGTCACAGTGTATAAGAGTGGTTAACACGAGTGCAAAAGACAGCAACCAAAACCGGCGCGCGAAAGTGCATGGTTAATGGTTGTAAAAACTGAACTGAACTGTGCTTGTTGAAGAATAATTTGCACAGTATGTTTGTGTAGTGGTACGTTTCGTAATGCCATGTTCGTATCAGTTCAACCGTAGTTCTCAGAGAGATCTGGTACGCTTAGGTTTTGCGACAGCGTTGAATGTATTAAATTGATTTCTTTCAAGTGTAATTTTGTTTTAAATTTTATTCTTTCTCTCAGTGATCGTCACGCGCTTCTGCCTACACCGGTTGCCGGTTTTGTACCTGCTCAGTCTACGTTATACGGCTCCGGGGACGTTCCATTCTGGCCTAACTACCCAGCCAACATGCTGGAGGCGGCTGCCTTGTTGTCCTCCCTGTGTCCGGATTTACTGGCTGCATTAAATGCACGTCCACAGGGCGCTGTGGATATCACTCAAACAAATACCAGTACAGCTCAGCTGCGTCAATTTCAGGAACAATTGGCTCAGTTAAATCCTTCATTGGGGGCTGAATTCAGTCGACTGACAGGTATGGCCTCCAGTTTGACACACCGGTCTCACAGTCGAGATAACGCGTCACAGCGCAAATCCAACTCTCGTCGTCCAGCCGGATCGAAACGGGTTCGTTCGAAGCGTTCTGCTGAACCAAACGCTGATCTCACTACCAAAGCCAGTCCACCTTGGTCCCGGGAAAAGCTTTCCGATGATTCTCGTGAACGAACTCATTCTGTAGCTCATTCTCGGTGAGGAAAGATATTACGCTTACTGTTAATATGATTGGTAATGTTGTTCAGTAATCGATTTGCTCGTAAACTGGCTTGGTGTCAATAATCTGTAGAAGGATGCAGGTTGATTTGACCAATGTCGCTGTCTAGTGTACTGTGGATTACAGCTCTCCTCCTCTGGGACGAACATCTTCCAGATTAAAAACAGATTTACCTTTCTCTCGCGAGAGAGGATGGGACCCCGCTCGTAACTAGTGGTTGCTCAAAGCATAACCCACCGAGCAGTGGACTATCATCAGTACCTAGAGACCCATAATTGCGAGAACTCGCAACTCGTACGTTTTTCGAGTAGTCAAGTATTACGAGATCATGCACCGTTTGCGCGGAAATTCTTTGTCTCATACTATTTTCTAAGGTTATACATCGGTCTGTTATTGGGCTTTTTGTGACCTTTTGTTATAATTCGAAAATGCGGTGCTGGTCTAGGGTATTCGTTTATCGAGGATTACAGTTGGGAGGTCAGTAGTTTGCATGCATAACACAGAAACCTAACCAGAAATGTGCCATCGCAATTCTTTTCGACATACAGGGTAATGTATAGAGCAGTCAGTAGTTATTTTTCCAAACACATCACTTGACCCTTGATGGTCTGTTATATTTTTGATCATCGAAAGTTACTTATTACTCACAAGTGAGTAGTATCTCACGACACTTTGACCGAAGCCAGATGATCAGTCACCTCGACTGCTTATTTATCGCTGCACGCCACCGTGCACTTGCAGCTAAATTCTTTCAGTGAAGGTATCCTTTTATTCCCATTTTCGGGACTCGTCCCTCTCCCCAAGGAGTCATCTGTTCAGAGGCCAGTATGGGATTATTCCTGAGGCTTCACTTGTTTTTACCTGTTGTGAATATTGTCAAATAAAAATTCGTTAGCCAAGACTAGGAAAAGAGAAGTTAAGCGGCGATGGTAGCACTGTTTTAACGCCCGATTTATGGGTTGATTTGCTAATGATGTGATGTTGTATACAATTATATAATACATCAGGATATGGTAATGATATCTACTGCTTGACTCCAAGGGTCAAGGTTCATGAAATGGAGGTCAAACAATTACAGTGCATTAAGAGTAGTTAACGAGAATGACCATTTTGTTTGATTTGAATTAGTACGTTTCTCGTCCACCTGCTCTACTGATATANATATATATAACTAGCAATTTTGGTTCGTTTTTTATTCAATTCTCCCCCTACCCCCACTATTTCGGCGTTTTTGCCTGCTTTAGTGAAACGTTGTACGGTTGGGCAAAGGTGTTCTAAACATATCGTGTGTATTCTTATCTCTCACTAACAGATCCTCTAGCTCTTCAGCGATTGAAACTGCTTGTCGAGCAAATCCACTTATGCGTTCGGCCTCTGTAACTGATTTATCGAATCCCAGTGCTCTTCGTATGACCAAGGACAATTCCCCCATCTCAGATGTGGTTCCCAGTGTGATTAGAGGAGATTGCACTGCAACAGTGGAGGAGAGAGACCATTCGGGTAGTGTTACTCCTGTTGTTGATGATGATGAAACGGTGCAAACTGCAGAACCATCGGACTTAGATGATATCAGTCCGCGCGTACCTCGTGGGCCGCGCACTCCATCCAGCCCGCCCATATCCTCACAGGATGAAGACGCTGTGGACAATGCGGTGTCGGCTATCGCACATGGTCGTCCGGAACTGGTTCGTCCAAATCTACATAGGGCACGAGGATCAGTAACGCGTCCGTACCCAACTGTATCGTGCTCGCGTATCAATCGATCGGACAGTGTAGACTCGGATTTTATACACGATTCTAGAAGTAAAAAGGACTCCAAGATTTCGCGATCGGTTATTCATAAATCAGTCAGTGCGAAAAACGATCTTGCTCATGAACCACGGCGGAAATCGTCTGACTTGACACGTGGCAAACTTGCAATAGGTGAAGGTAAAGCTTCACGAGAAAAGAGCAGCTGTTCTCCAGGGGTAAGTCAACTAATTTTATTGTTGTTTGTTTTGTGTTGTTCTGTTTGATAGACCGCTTCCTCTTATCAAAAGTTGTATCATTATATATTCAATAAAATTAAGTAAAATAAAAGATGAAATTTAGGTTACAGAAACAGGTTGATTGTTGTTTGTTCTTTTCTATTGTAGGATTCAAGAACCCGGGCACTTCCTGCGGCCTATGCCAATCCTCATCGCTTAAGGCGGAGCTCAACAACCCCACCATCCTCTATACCTCCTCGAGGAGAAGACGTTGCATCGTCCGGTAGTTCCTCGTCATCTTCATCTAGTTCGACGCGCTCATCATCGTCTTCAAGCAGCTCCTCTCATTCTAAACCCCGCCAGTCGTCTACTGAGTCGAGTAACAAGAGTGATGTGGTTAGAAAAAGCCGTGGGTCTCAACGTGTATCCCGTCCACTTCAGTTGTCATCAAGGCCATCTAGTGGTCATGCACAAACCACGGTGAAGCCTGCATGTGGTCAGCTGGAAGATCTGAGCTCTGATGAGGAACTGCTTCGCAGTGGACCGCGGACTAGTGGATCACGTCAAAATAGACCGGGCAGCTCTGGAAACCTCTCAGAGCAGGATCATACGAATTCTCGCGTTGGAACTCGTAGTCGCCGATATCGTCGTCGACCATCGTATCAGGAAGGTTTGGGTGATTATCTATCCGATGAATCTCCTAGCACTGCGAGATCGGCTCGCGCTGCCGAATCTCATTCGCGATCCTCCGTATCACGCTCTAGTGATAACGAAAGGTCTGTCTCTGGTGATAGTCGGCCTCCTGATTCTGTACCGACTACTTCTCGAAGTCAAAGTCGTGAGTCGTCACCCGCAGCAGTTGGTCCGGTATCCCACGGTATTGATCGTGACCGTACACGTAAAGGTGTACCAATTGATCGCAGTGGTCGAATGACTCGTCGTGTAGAAAATTCCAGTTTAGATCGCTCCGAGGGCTCCTTAGCACAAAGATCTCCTCAACGCGGACGACAGCGGGGACAAAAGTCCAATGCTCGTCGACAAACCGGATTGCAATCACCATCTGACTGGGATTCGAACAGTACTTATGCTCGAGCGAAGCGACCTTGCCTGACTGCTTCCGTAAACCGGAATGCCCTACCTAGGAGTGCAGCCTGGCGACCGGAATCACACCGTGCACCGAGCAACAGTAGCAATCGATATTCCAGACGCCGTCGTTCGCCATCCCAAGACCCGTGAGTATTTGTGGCCGTTCACGATTATCATAATTTAAGTTAGCAGTGATATTTTAGGCAGTCTGCGGTTTAAGGACCTGATAATTATTAGCAACCATAAGTCTAATCGTGACTAAAGCATTTTCTAATGCTAACTAGCAGCGATGCGTTTAACACTGTTTTCTCCAATTTTTTCACTGCCCGTACAAATGTTTTTTTTCCCGCATCTCTCCGCTTTATAGTTTGCACAATACAGTTGAAATGTTATTTTACGCACTGGTCACGTCAAAGAAGGTTGCATAAAACTGATAGTGACAGCGATCAACCCAGTGTCCTGAGTTCCTTCGATTCCGTGCCTCTCCCTCGGGGATTTTGTATGATTTTTTAAATTTTCATCATATACATTTTTGTGTGATGAACAGACGACGTTGATCCCATAGTCGCAAAGACTTGGTGCTCAATGATGGAAATCGGTATCCTAAGCCCCAGGAACCATATCAAACTCTACTAGGTTAGACGTGGTATTGAACCGGGCGGCAGGAAAGTAGCAGGGAACAATACGTTGGGTTCTTTTCAAACAAGCCCGCGAATCGGTGATATACATATTGAACAATGCGAGGACTTTTTGTTACTATGAAGCAACGCATACAAAGCATTTGAAGTTTGTACTGTGCACCGCCATATGCAATTACCACTATCGTCTGTTCGTTGATATTTATAATATATTGAATCAGAATGTTTTACATGAACCTTTCATATTCCACAAACCAAAAATTCCCGTTTTGTTTTACGTCCTATTTTTCTCGATTTCTCCCCTACGCAAACTAGAGATGGCCCTTTCGATTGACCCCGTGATCTAAGCAGGTGATAGTTAACCTTGTCTCGTCCTGACCCTTCTGTGCCTCATCTCTATTCCCGTCCAGTCCACACTCATTTTGTTTATAAACCACGTAAAGTGAACTAGTTATGTCTACCAGTCTAATCTCCACCAACACATCAAACTTTATAAAGTATGAATGCGTATTACCGATTTATATAACTGTATTAGCCAGAAGAAGAAGTTATCAAAATCGAGCTTGTTCGCTATTTCGTGTTCTCTTAAACATTTTTATGATAAAAATATAATGGCCGTGTTAGTAGCTCTATGACTCTCCCACCGAGACCGTCCCATTTCATTAGTCAAACTTCCCGCGTATTTTAGCTCTTGGCACGGTTGTGCACCGAGTTCAGAAGATTCTCATCGCGGTCGATTACAGTCCGGAGTAAACAATCGAAATCCTCGTTTGCCTACATCCGGTCGAATGGACGGACCGCAGTCCACAGCTCGGGCACGACGTGATATCGCTTTACTCCGAAGACCGGATGATAATTTCAACTCGACACGTTGTCACCACACAGACAGCCGGAGAAGCCCCTTGGATCCGGCATTGGATGGTGGTTCGCGGCGTCTTTATCACA